TCCCAATCTACCACCGCAGCTGAAAAGACGAACTTTAGGGGCTGAAACCCAGAAGGACCATAGCCATAATTAGGTAGTGGATTATTCAAGGTAAATTCAGTTGCATCAAGGGTCAACGCCTGCAACTGACCGTCTGTCGTCGGTGGTCGAGGGTACTGCAACTTGGTCAGAATGGTAGTCTAGGGACGCACACTTGATATTTTGTGTGCTTTTTGGCCGGCCTACTGGTATCAGTGGCCGCTGATGTGCAACGGATCGTGCGATGTACAACGTCGACTTATGTGATGGTGAACCTTGCCCGTTGTGCGGCGATGCTTTTCAGGCTTGAGCCAAAATTGAGTTTACAAATGATGAGTTTAATTTTGATTCCCAGACCCCAGCCCGTCCAGAAAACGCAGAAGTCTGCCTGCTAACCGATGCGCAAAGGGGGCGTCTGATGAGGCTGAACTAGACCGAAGCACAGAAACTCAGAAAGGCGTCTCGGAACTCTGTGTTTGTCCGCGTTTCCGTGTCCAAGGACAGGCTAATCGGCAGCCATGAGTAAATATTTGATTACTATGACTAGCTATGTAGAGAGCCAGCTAGGGTAAGTAGATGAAGATGATTGTGTGTGACTCGTGCAGGGACTTTCTGCTTCAGACAGTTCGTCTGTTAGTGAGACCTCATGCATTTTATGTTGGTCTCGTATTTCTTGAAAAGTATAGTCGGTACGCAACAAGCTACAGGAAAGAATGCAATGCACATGGGCCGTAGGAGATGGCGTTGTGCAAACAGGCCTACATGTGATTTTCGTCCCCGTCGTCTCTATGTTGGGTAAGTATTGATCCCTTTTTGATAGCCGACTAACTCAATGTTTGTCGGTAACCTGGCTTGTATCTTCCTCTCGGGTTCATTCAGTCGTCCTCTATGATCAGCGTAGGTTTCATATGGCTAGTTGATTAGGCATCGTTGACTGCCAACTGCTTGCTTGTCGTGTGCACCGGCCAGGTTCGTTCAGCTGTCCGCTTTGATCGATCACATTATCGTCGTGTCATTTTTCAGCGGTTGTGTTGGTGTGGTCTGCGGTTTATGAACAAGTGCGCGTAGCTCACCAACATTTCCAAGTCTAACGTTCCTCCAACCTGCCGAGATTTATCCGGCAATGATGAATGCAGCTTTCGCTATTTTGACTCTAAATAGAAATTGCCAAGGTTTCTGGACACACTTCGTTGCCTGAAAAGACAAGCAGATATAAATAGCAAAAAGTATTTGCAGGAGTAGAAGCTCCGCGTATCTTGCATTCACAAAGGCTAGCGGTTTCTAGAAAGTTCAATAAATCATTTCAGGTGCTGAGCTATCTGCAACTTTTCTTCATTATTAGAGATTTATCTTCCGCCGAAATTTTTCAATATCTTGTTACTTTCGAAAACACATTCACATTCGGTCGAGAATAATGATTTTGAAAACTCACCGACTTGAGAAAACTCAACCATGTGGGGCATTTGCAGAATAATTCATTTCACATTGAGATTCCACGGTATGAAGTGGTAACCCTAAAAATGTGGTGTCTCTTGAGGAATAGATTTCATGGTGCGAATACTGAGCGGCCGCTTGCTCCAAAAATCCATCTTTTTATTTATGCTCTTTAAACATCTCAACCGTCCTCGAAATGGCTTGTGTGCAGGCACTGTTTGGACGCGCTCACTTCCTGGCTTTTGCACAAGTGAGCAATCAGAATACCGGAATGTTTGTTGTTCACAGACAGAATAACAGTCGGGCATTTTGAGCTCAGCATCTTTTTTTCTACAACAACCATTGAAGCCCAGGAATGTTTCGCGTTAACTGAAAAATGGCTGGAACAAACTTGCTTTGTTTCTACTAAAAATTGCCGGGGGCTATCGTGCATTTTGAAATACCATGATGCATGGAAAATCGAGCCAAGCGGCTGCAAAACAAAATCATCAAACGGCGAAAACACCATCAGTTCGGCCTCCGCTGGTTACCACAAAAAAGTGAGTGAAACTGCTTAACCTGATAACCCTCTCATCTATGACATTCAGAACGTCACTGGTAGCTCCAAGGTGAAGCAATTGCTGTTCGCCAAAAACACCAGAGCAGCAGAACCATACGCCCCTACTGCAGTGGTACTTAGGAGACATGGTTTTTTGACCTACTTAAAGTGTGTCTGATATTTTTTGCCTTACATTCGTTCCATCGTCTCGGTAGTAGCAAGTACCAGGAATTCAAGTTCTACCTTCATACTAGATGCGCGCACGAGGCTGTTGTTCCTGCAGATGAATAAGGCAGCCACCAACCTGTCGTTTTCCAGCCTCGAGACATGACATTTTTAGACCAATAAAATATTAGGACGCACAGTAAATGAGTATTTGTTTGGTTTAAACCAACAAGCCTTGTCCAAAAGCCTGGTGGAATTTCTGTTAAGGAATGAAATCTGCTGTGTCAACTTAAAGGGAAGGTGAGAGTTTGGGTCGCCAGTCAATGAGTCACGTCTGCAAGCTCCAAAAACGGACGGTGCGTAGCAAAAACTCTCGTTAGGGGATAGCCTCGACCGTTAGTATTCGGGAAACAACAGAAATTAAAATTTTTTATGAATATGATCGCTTCAGACGACAAGAGTCAAGAACGTGTGTGTTGTGTCTGGATGATGGAGAGGGCTTGGTGTGGTGCGGCCTAACTAAGAAGAATCAGGCAACTCCTTGCACGTCGATGTCAGCCGTGAGCATTCCACAGCATATTCAGGCTACCGTATACATAATTTTTAAGCTAAACGAAAAAACGGCTTCCATTTGCGTGTATTCCGCACAAATGAAAACCGGTACAAGTCCAATCCTGCTAATGACAAAAACAACGGTGCTCTTTTATGGTTTTCCTGACCAGGCTCAGATCCATCAGCGATGTGTGATGCACCAATGGTACTGGAGGATTCTGGAGTATAAAAACGTACCGTGGTGCGACGTAACAGTATGGCCCTCCACGCAAAGCATATCCGTCCAACACACGTTTTTTATCCCCCATGCATGCCACCAGATCTACAGGGTGACAAGCCGCCGAACATTCATAATTGGCGTTTGTGCATTGCCGTGTAGAATGCGTACTCTCCTTAACCATCCCAGATTGTAGCCAGCCTCAATGAAGGAGCCGCACATGGCCGTCGGCTACAAAATTCATAGGAATGGCACGGTGTTTGCCCCAAAGAGATCGTCGCTCTCTCAAGCCTAGAAAGATTAAGCGTCTTCTAAAAAATAATTTCCAAAAATTTCCGAAAGAACTCTGAAAGGCATAGAAGGTGAGCTGGTGTTTCTTAAAGTGTGGAACCACTGTAGAGCTGAAATCCGCTCAATGGGACATAAGAACATAGGCCATAATAATAGACCTTGCCTGGAAAAACAAAAACTTCCCGATTTAATTTAATCACGGAATTAATAAACCAAATGCCTTCTTCAGCAGCAGAAACGAAAACACACGACTGACCATGTACAGGCATCTGAAGCATACAGAGGACGCTGTACAATAACGTACTCTGCTCCATCGATTTCATCACATCTAAACTCAACTGGTCGTGGCAATGAACTTAGACTTTACGGAGGTGGTTGTGCGTAAACTCAAGCACAAAGCAAACTTCTGCGGCGCTCCGAAGCAAGAAGTGGTCCATACAACTATCCGGAATGAAACGCAGCTCACATCGTTGAAGCATTTATAAACGGGGTTTCAACGGTCGCTTGACAAAAACAACCTTTCTACTGCTTAAAAAGAAGCAACCATCAAGCTAATCTACAAAAATCGTGGCTAGCTATCCCTTACTGACTACAGGATTATTAACCTCACTAGCATACCGTGAATGGTGATTGAACGCTTTCGGCAGAGTCATCTTTATTTACCTCAGTAATAACAACTTGATGTGTTAAGTGCCAAGGATTGTTCCTCCTGAACAGCGTGATGAATATGCTTGTATTTACGGGAAGCTCGGCCCAGTCTGGAGACGAAAGATTCATATCGAATGTTGTATTTTCAAATTCTCGAAAGCATGTGGTGGGGCCTCACACGTTGCACTGATCCACAACCTAAAGTCCTATGGGACTCAAGAAGAAATTCTACGCCCGATTGAAGCGTTCATATCATGTGGAAGGTCTCAAGCCTAGGTGAGGTCTGTCTTGTCCTCTTCGGCACCGATCTCTGCTGGAGGCAGTTGGGCTACGTTATAGGACCATTTTTATTTCTGGTGCACGTCATCACTCTTGCTGGCGTGCTTCTAAATTCGTGTCTAATTTTTGCGGACATCCTGACATCCGAAGCTCAAACGCTAGTGACTTGCAAATAGATGTGAACTTTGCAAAGCAGTGGTTTTTGACACGTTCCCTGAATACCAAAAAAGTGGTCCACATGATATTGAGAAGAGACTCGGTGAACACCTTTGTCGTGGATGGTGAGAGTAGACCAGATATGATTAGGGTATTTGGCTCTGTTCAAACTTGAACTCCAGATTTCACCAGAAAACTGGCTCGAAATTCATTCACTGATTCGGCAAGTCTTCCCTGGCCAAATGCCGGTTGCCAGTGGCGCTTCCAGAACGCGTCAGAAATTCCAGAAAGTTATAATCGCCTATGCTATATACACGAAGTGCTGTACAACTGTTCCTGACTTGGTTTTGGGCATTAATGTACTTCGTGCACCTTTGATGGTTGCTTTCGACGTGAACGCTAGCTTGGGATGCTCGGACCGAGAACTAAGCTGAGGAAAGTACCGTTGGTACAACTGGCGAACGGGAACTCACATTGTCAATTGAATTTGATCAGCTCCAAAAACTATTGCAGCAGCAACAAAAGCAGCTTGAAGAAGTGCAACTAAAGCTCACTGAATCACTGACTGAGAGACTGCATATCCAGACAGCAGCAGTCGGTACTGGTGAATTTTCCGTTTCCTCAACTGATACATCCGCGGCCCCAATTACGGAGTGCATATTCGACCCCCTTTCTGGTCGCAATTTTGACTCCAGGTTCTAGCATTACAACGATACGCTCAAGACTGATTTTTCCAAATTTGATGATGGATGGAATGTCAGAACATCGCTGCAAGAACTCGGCACACCGGAGCATGAACGGTTCACAAATTTCATTCTCCCCAAGCTGCCCCGCGAACTCAGCTTTAATGAAACTTTCAAAGCACTGTCCCAGATATTCGGCTATCAAACATCACTGTTCAGTATCCACTACCAATGCCTAAAGTTGTTCAAGAAAGATGATGATGACTTCATCACTTTCGCAAATGTCGTCAATCGGGAATGCGAGCGCTTCAAGCTCAGCTCAATGACGGAGAATCAGTTCAAGTGCCTCATTTGTGTATCCGGTCTCCAGTCATCCCAGGATGCTGACATCAAAGCCCGGCTGCTTAGCAAAATTAAACGGGATGCCGAAATGACGTTGCGGAAGCTCATCACTGAATGCCAGCGTCTCATCAACCTGAAGCATGACACGGCTATGATCGGTCAGTTACCTGTGACCTCAAGCAGCTGCGTAAAGGCAATCAACTCCAGCGCGCCCAAAAAATTTGACAAGAAACCCAATCAAAGACAAATTAAACCTCCCAAAATTTGCTGGCCTTGCGGTGTGTGGCATTTTGCTCGTTATTGCCGGTTAAGGCGTCACAAATGCTCCAGGTGCAGAGGTCGTGGCCACAAAGAAGATTCGTGTCGACCTCAAAGACTGCAGCCACCCGCACACCACCGTGCACTTCACAAATTGCTGTGCAACTCCGTGACGGCAACATTCAAAATTGATTTTGCTTGCCGAAGGAACTTCCTGACGGTTTGCGTCAACGACCATCCAGTTCGTTTGCAACTTGCTACGGGCTCCGATGCCAAGCTCCTCAGTGAACGAACGTGGAAACGAATCGGTAAGCCACATGTGAAGCCGACTCAATGATTCCGGTAGTAAACTGAAGTTGACTGGAGGGATCCACTACTTCATTAACTTCAATGACGAAACGGCACAAGCCATCTGCCGCCTGACGTCATGCTCCAAGCTTGATCTCACGGGGATAGATTGGATCAAAAAGCTGAATCTGCTGGATGAACCAAACAATTCTATTTGCAACCGCATGCACGCAGCACCCGGACAAACTCATTTGCCAAAGCGTTCACTGGAGCACCTCCTACAACGTTATGCGTCTGTATTCACTGACGAGCTTGGACGGTGTGCGAAAGCAAGAAACAAACTGTGCCTCCTCTCCGGCGCCAAGCCAGTCTCCAGGCCAAAACATCCAGTACCGTATGCAGCCTTGCCTATTGTTGACCAAGAACTGGACTCGCCTCAGAAGGCGGGTGTTCTCCAACCGACCAACTACTCTGTTTGGGCCGCATCTATCGTGTTGGTGAAGAAGGCTAACGTGTCCATCCGGTTGTGCGCAGCTTTCTCCACCGGTATCAACCCGGCGCTGGATGCCCATCAATACCCTCTGCCTCTTCCAGACGAAATGTTCGCGAAACTGAATGGGGGTAAGTGTTTCGCGAAAATTGACTCGGCCGATGCGTACCTCCATGTTGAAGTTGAGGAAGAATCCCAAGAACTTCTCACGATCAATACGCACCGAGGTCTGTTCCAGTACACTTGACTGTCATTTGGTGTCAAATTAGTGCCAGCCATATTTCAACAAATTATAGATACGATGCTGAAGGGTGCCCCCGGCGTTGCCGCCTGTTTGGAGGACCTCACTGTCATGGTTTCAACCCCCACGAATTGTGGCAGCACCTTTAATACGTGCTTGAGCCTATTCAAAAATATGGCTTCAAAGTGCGCCGAGAGAAATGCACCTTTTTTATGCGGTCAATAAAGTGCCTTGGTTTCATCATTGACGAACATGGCCGCCGTCCAGACCCGGAGAACATTGAAGCCATCAAATGTATGCAGGACTCACGGGTCCGGCGTCCCTTAGGTGATTCCTCGGTCTCGTCAGTCACTACCGTTCGTTTTAGCCTGCCATGTATCGCTTCCGCGGCCCACTAAATCAGCTACTTACCAAGGCACACAAGTGGACTTGGTCAGGAGAATGCCAACGCGCCTTTGACTATGTCAATTCCATGCTAAGTTCCGATTTGCTACTCACACACTACGATCCATCGATGGAAATCGTTGTGGCGTCGGAAGCCTCGAACTATGCAATTAGCGCAGTGATTTTACACTTATTTCCAGATGGTAGCCGGAAAGCCACAGCGCATGCGGCCAGATCCCCGACTTCAGCCGGGCGCAACTACAGTCAGATATAATAGAAAGCCTTGACGATTGTGTTTGCCGTTAAGAAGTTTCATTAAACACTCTGCGGCCATCAGTTCACCCTACTGACCGATCACAAGCCTCTTCTTGCTGTGTTTGGCACCTAAAAAGGAATTCCGGCATGTACTGCCAACCGGCTCTAGCAATGGGACACTCTGCTTCTGGTATACGTCTTCAAGATAAAGTACCAGTCCTCCACTAGAAAAAGGAATCCGGCATGTACTGCCAACCGGCTCTAGCAATGGGACACTCTGCTTCTGGTATACGTCTTCAAGATAAAGTACCAGTCCTCCACTAGCCTCGGACAAGCCGGCGCACTGTCCCGACTCATTGATTCAAGCAGGCCAGAACCAGAAGGTACCGTGATCGCAACAATTGCCCTGGAACCAGAGGTTAACCACGTAGTTTCCGAAGCTGTTCGCATCCCCTCAGTGACTGCCGACATGGTCCGCCAGGCTACCGATCAAGACCCTGTGCTACAGAAAGTCATAAAGTACCATCGCAGTCAGTGGCCGCGTAACTGCCAAAAAGACGAACTAAGGCCTTACTTCAACCGGCGTGACGCATCATCACTAGCCGACGGATCCCTCTTGTTTTCAGAACGTGTGGTCATCCCAAAGAAGTTACAACCAGCCGTCCCGAATCAGTTCCATAAAGGGCACCCGAAAACAAACAGGATGAAGGCCCTTGCTCGGAGTTATGTCTACTGGCCTTTGATGGACTCCCAGATCGAGCAAGTCTCGAAATCTTGCCTGCGGTGCGCTGAAGCATCCAAGTCACCGGTGAAAACCTACCTAAGCTCGTGGCCGCAACCGACCGAACCCTGGTCTCGTCTTCACATCGATTATGCAGGTCCAGTGGGTGGCCAACACTTTTTGGTCGTGGTCGACGCTTACAGTAAGTGGCCGGAAATCGTTCCGGTGAACAGCCACACAACTGCCATTACAGCCCTGGAACTCCGGCGATTGTTCAGTCGTTTTGGAACGCCAGAGACAATTGTATCCGACAACGGCAGTCAGTTTACGTCGTCGGCGTTCGCACACTTTTGTCGGGAGTATGGCATAACGCATATTCGCTCGCCGCCGTTTCATCCACAGTCGAACGGCCAAGCGGAACGCTTTGTTGACACTCTCAAGCGGGCACTTCAGAAGTCCAGGGGGGAGGGACCAACGGAAGAGATTTTGCAAAGGTTCCTGCTGGCATATCGAGCGACGCCAAACCCCAACTCACCTGACGGAGTATCACCAGCAGAGGCACTGCTCCGAAGAAGGCTCCGAACACCGCATGACACCATCCGGCGGCAAAAAAGGCAGGCTAGTCACCGCAACACCAGAATGGAGGAACAGTTCAACCGGCATCATGGAGCAACTGCAAGCTCATTTAGCGAAGACCAGAGAGTGTTGGTTCGTGACTTCAGCGGCAGACAACCTACGTGGACTCCAGGACTCATCCTTCGCCGGCGCGGCAAAGTGCTCTACGCGATTCAAGTTGGTCCAGCCAAGTGGATACGCCAAGCGAACCAAATCCGGCCGACAGATACGCAGATTCTACCCACGGGACCAAGTGATTTGAGCATAGAAAAGCTTCTGGGCAGTTTTGACCTGGGCTCCATCCCAGAAGATCAATCAGTTGCTTCGTCAGAGGCCCAGCCTGAGCACGGATTACAACCGGGGCGCTGAACAGACAGGATCCGCAAGCCAGTGAGGCCAATGCAAGTGAACCCCCGGCTTCAAAGCTACGTCAACAAAAGTCAAGGGGGAGGAATTAGGCAAGAATTCACACAGATCCCGCTATCCCGCACGTCTTCAGGCGCTGCTGCGGCAGATAAGCCTAGACCGCGCGAGACTGGCCAATAATTCGGGACGCTTGCCAATCTGGCATCAAGACGAGATCTGATTGGTCGAGAATCTGAACATCACTGCCAATCATGACACAGTATTGGCCAAATGCCGGTTGCCAATGGCGCTTCCAGAACGCGTCAGAAATTCCAGAACGTCATAACCGCCTATGCTATATATAAGAAGCGCTGTACAACTGTTCCTGACCTAGTTTTGGGCATTAATATACTTTGTGCACCTTTGGTGTTTGTTTTTGACGTGAACGCTAGCTTGGGACGCTCAGACCGAGAGCTAAGCTGAGGAAAATACCGTTACTACACGTGCCCAATCAAGCTGCTGCAAAAGTGGTTGCCAGGTTTGAATCTTCTGGTTATGAAGCGTGTCTGGCGGTGCTTCATTTCCTACTTATGGGTATTTTCCCTTCCGATGGGACTAGTATGCTCTGTTTGAACAAGTTTTGGACAACTGGTTTTTCACCATCTACCCAACCAACACATAGCGGGACATTATAAGAAGTTTTGCAAGCTCAAGCTGCACATTTTCATCGGGCGACAATTTTTTTCATCTCGGGTAATAATAACGTTTATTCACAGCTAGTAGAGGGCACACCGGCAGATATGCTCATAACGGTGCAAACTCAACAAAAGCATGACTGGCGGGGATTGTGGGCACAGGGTCTAGGGAAAGGAACAATATTATAAGGGGTTGGCATTATCTGATGTAGGCATGATTGATACTAAACCATCACGGGCAGGAGAGCACATATAATATGCGTTAATGGAGAGAATATCAGGCAAGATCGGATCGTAGCTGGTAAGTGTAGCAACATTCTTTCAACGATTAAGCGCGCTTAAGTTCAAAGCGATTTTAGATGCTTTTTCCGTGAGCCCTCAAACTGGCGAGCTTTTAAATACAGGATGCGGATTTGAAAAGCAGTGCCACATTATTGTTTGATTTGCTCCTCTTATGTAAGCGGAATCCACTGAACGGCAATACTAAGTCAGAAACAAGAAGCCTGGGTGAGTGTCTCAATAAATTAGTTAGTCCGTGCATCAGTGTATTATGCCTCCTCCTAAACGGCAGTAATTATTGGCTAGAAATGTGCGTTTATGCTGCAATGGGTCAGTCCCATAAGAGTTTCTGTCAGCTGGCCCTATCCAGCCCAAATAAGCTGGCTAATACTGTCTCCTGTAAACAGGGCAGAAATGCCAGCGCCCCGTAGGAACGGGAATAAAGCATCGCCGTCATGTGTTCACGCCATCTGTCCGCGGTCAAATGCGCGGATTGATACACAGTATCATGGGTATTGCCCAAGTTTCCCGGGCCGAATTTGTTCTTGTCGTGCGTCCTACTAGACAACTTGGTTGGCGTGCCCCAGGAGCGGTCTGACGTAGGCCCCATAGAGTATTTCGAAGTCCATGCGAGTAATAACGGAGAAGTTGCGTCGGATCATCCGTAAAACGGCGAATGCTTTTTGGGCAGATTTCTCATGGTGCAGTGAGAAGGACAAGTTTGAGGTGACCCAGATGCCAGAATCCATTTTGGCATCTATCCTTGTGATGTTTTCTGGCCCCTTCTCTACATACATAGCAAGGGCATTCGCTGAATCCCCTCCAAACGACATATGGGCACACTTTTCGTCATTCAGAGTAAGGTGCCAGTCCAACGACCGCTGCTTGGTAGCGTCTACATCCATTTGGAGGGCACTGACATTGGAACTCCAGGATTTCAAGTCGTCCGCAAAAAGTAAACATGGACTCGCAAGAACATCTGGGAGGTCGTTGACGTAGGTCAGAAATAGGAGTGGTCCCAAGACGGAGCCTTGAGGAACTCCAATGGAGACCGGCGCTGGAGAGGAATAGGTCGAGCCTATTCTCACTCGGAATGATCTGTCTGATAGGAACGCCTTGATTCAGCGAAGGATTTTCCCTTGAATCCCGTAAGACTCGAGTTTGTGGAGCAGCGGGACGTGTGGGACCCTATCAAATGCTTTTG